CCTCTTAACTTTAGCGTATTATGTAAGCCGTAATAGCTCCTCTAAACTTATATTATCTGTTTAAGTTTAACATTTGATGTTTTGATGTTAACAGAACATTAGTTATTAAATTAAAGCTTGCTATGTGCAAATATAACTACATTCGATATCAATACTGTTAATTACAAGACATTTCAATTATATGTTATATAAAAAAATATTTTTTCTTTTTTAAATGCCGAGAATACGCCTTATTGAGGCTTCTTCTCTGCCAATCCAGTGCTTCCCACCTGTGTGATTGTTCTGAATCAATCAAAAATTACAAATTGCTGTTTCAAATAAGAAGACAAATGAGTGCATATATTATATATATGAGGATTAAGCTTTACTTTATTATTATGTTGCATAGAATTACATTCTTTGTGAATGCTCAAAACTAGTACATTAACTTAAATGTTGTATGATATGGCTTAATACTACATTATTATATATATTATAAATATATACTATTAACAATTTTCAAGCTTGTTGCAATAAACTCTTGACATCTAATATATAATATTAATATGCTTAATAAAAAACTTGCTGAAGTCTTTCTCTGAATATCACTCTCTTGGATGTACGCTTCATAGGGTCTCTGTTCACTGGCAGAAATCTATTGCATTTGTAAACAGCATTTAGCATTTATAGGAAAATTTCAGCAAGAATAAAAACTTGAGATTCTGTAAATACAATACTTGAAATAAATTCAATGCAGCCACCTAATGTAACCTTTATTTCAAAATTCAAGCATCCGCCTAATTATGTATGTAAGCTGCTTCAACTTTTATTCCATAATTTTTATTATCCTATTCCCAAATTTATCGTAATTTTTTTTAAAACATGGCAAACTTTAACTATTGTCATAAATTTTATGAGTACATAACATATGTGTGTATGCTTTTTATGCAATAATTTCGCTTATGTTGGTTTAAAGTCAGTATGTATTAAAGATTTAGGCTATGTTGACTCAATCAAATGGTATATTGCTCAATACGCAATTATCAATGACACTCAGAAAGGATAGTAGTAGTATTATATTTCTTGTTGAACTTATATTTGAGACAAATTATCTCGCGGCGGGCAGAGTACAAAAAAACTCATCTTTTTGATTTTTGAATATTATTTTGGTTACCAAAATTTCGTAATCGACTTACTATTTCACAAACATTAAAATTGAATAAGGTGCGTTTACTTTGTGCAGGCCATAACAAACCGGATATTTAATTCCACACGAACATTTTCGTGTGACTCGAACAAAATTTTCCATTTCGCACAGTGGTAAAAAAATATCGTTTGTTATTTGTCATATAACGCTGACAAACTCTGTTGTTGTATATGCAGTACACTTGTAAGTTTATTAGTATGCAGTATGCGAATCATATTACGTAATTGATAAATGCCTTAATATACACCAGTTGCTTTATGGCATTCCAAACACGAAACAAAACCCCCTAACTTTTGTGGGCATGTAGATCATGCAAAAATAGTAGAATCATAAAGATACGAAAAGCTTTTCTTTTTTTTTTTTTGTCTTTATCTTTTCGGTAATGAAACAAATGGCACAACTCTCTTTGTTTTGATACATATGGTTAAGAAGAAATCGACATTTGTCTCACAAAAAGCAAATGTATAAATGATGATGGTGTTGGCATTAATTATCCCAGTATCAAGTCCTGTTCGGCTGTCAATATGAAGATTCTCAAACTTATACTCGTTCTCGCTGCCGTAACCTTGGTTTCTGCTACAACATATCAACTACAAAGTAGATCTGGCATCGCCAATTCTCGCCTACTTACTTCTAACCTTACGAAATATGAAACTTGCGACGTTGGATACTATCTATGTTCAGATAGTGAAGGTGGATGTTGTCCTAATGGCAGTAAATGTACTTCCGGCTATACGTGCTCTTCAGGCGGTTCAAGCAACGGCGGCCGGAGTTTACTTGGCAATACTTTATTAACCGAGCTTCTGGCAATGACCATTGCCGTCGTAATCTACATGTCGGGTCATTTCTAGCTTGGATACACATTCTAATGTTTTGTCAGGACCTGTCTATATTATTAAATGATCAATGTAACCATGGTGATGGGCATGATTATAACGATGGATGTTTGCAACCTACAGTGCAATGGGCCCGCTAAAAGGCGATGATTTGATGCAAAGAAATTGGTTCATAGTGGAGTTGAATGGTTTTCCATATTTTTGTAATAAATGGTCTTATTGGTGTAGTAAAAGTTTACATATCGGTTGATAATATTAGCAGAAATAAAAAAATCAAATTCGGTATATCAGCTCAAGATAAAATTCAGATTCATTGTATCAGCTCAAGATTTCATTGTTATTGTAGAATCTAACCTACTCGTAGTATAACACAGAAGAGCCACTTGCCATATGAAACTTTGCATCTCACCCAAACGCGATTCATGTATGATGAAGAATCTTTTATGATAAATGAGACGTCTTGGGCTTATTCCCTTCTTCCCATGCTTAAATTTCGTAACGTAATGATGGAAACCCTCCAAGTTTGATAGATGACTTATCGTGTTAATTCTGTAAGCATTAAGCAATTAACGGCCGGAGGGGCCATTCATCAAATCAATGCTAACACAAATTGACTAATTTGGACTAATGCATAAAAAAGTTGCTTTGCCTTTATGCGTTGGCTTACTACGATACATTTGTCATACTGTTACGCAATAGAACCGTTGCAGAACCGGTTTTTGTCAGGTCTCGATTCTTTTGTTGAACGCAAAAATAGAAAAAATCATACAAATACAATACCCTTTTTTTTGCGTATTGCAGATCCGATGGATACTTGCTTTGTTTCAGCAATGCATGCAACGAACTAAGTGACGATGTCTAACAGGCATCATAAATATCTTAGCCAAGTTCTGCTCGGTGTCAGTATGAATATTCTCTCATTTTCGTTTGATCTCAACTACAATAAAATTTGACATTGCCAAATTGAATCGAAATATTAATATCACGACAGCAGATCTATCAACGTATTTATTGAGCAGTGGCTACAATTTATTATTTATGCAGTATGCACTTTATCCATTAAACATTTAACAACAATCGTTATCATCCTACTTATATATTCGGTCATTTATAACTCGGACGTATGTTTTTATACTTGTCAGAAAGGCTTATCTATATTTACACAATCTATATCAATATAACGTTTTTTAGATAACACTGCAAAAGTGACTCGATTATGAGGTTTAAGCGCTTTATTGACATGCATGTTATTGTAATTATTTTTTAAGTAAAAACGACAACTGATTGCACAGCCATAATAATAATAGATAAATCGGATACTTAAAATTTATTGGCTCCCGCCGAACAGGCATAAAGAAGTGAATATACGTCACGACAATTAAAATTACTCTTCAAATACTATTACTGACAACACCCGTCTCAGAGCTGACTTGGTACAACGTCATGCTTCGGATATAATGTTCTACACACATATATAAAAAACTATTTATTATAATTATTGGCACAACTCCAAATCTATCCGTTAACCGAAAAACGCTTTTAACTTGTAAGCTGTAACAGCTTCTCTAAATATATAATCTCTGTGTTAAATTGGTCGATTGTTTAACAGAGCATTAAATTATTAAATTAAAAAGTATTGCTATGCAAATATAACTACATTCGATATCGATATTATTAATTATAAGGCATTCATTATAAAAAGCTAATTCTTCTTTTTTAAACACCCGGGAAACACGCCTTATGCTAATTATGCGCTAATTCTATTTACTTCTATGTTAATGCTAAACCACTGGTAGAGAACATACAGATTTATTACGATTACAGACCATTGAAGAGGGAGACAAAGTTTCTTAAATTATTTTTAATATAATTACGAACTGCAAATGACATTTATTCAGGTGGAGTAATGAGGGTGAGAATGAGGGCTACCTCACAGCCAGGCCTTATTCATTATTTTTTATATCGGGGGGTCATAGTAAGCTCTTGCTCGTAAAGTTACGGCAATAGTTTCAAATATTTATATCAAAGTTACAGGTACAAAATTTCATACTTTGACCGGTTATCTTTACTAAATATCAACGTTTTTATCTTCCAATAATTAATTCTCATCTACATTATTATTTTTTTCGGGAGGTCTACTTTTTAGGACGTTGTCTGTGCTTACACGGATTTTTAAAAATAACTCTTATGAAAACAATCTTTTCTCCGCCGACAAATTTTCTGATAATGCAGGTACAAGATGAAATATTTGGATTATCGTTATCGTCTTGCTGGTTTTCTTTAGATATTCCGTAATTACAGTCAAGACTCCGATAAGAAAAGTCTTGATATAGTAAATTTCGCATTATAGTCAAAAATATCTCTGAACAAAAAACCAAACTATCAATTTCCCTCGATTGAATAGTAAGTCTCGATACTAGATACGGTCAAGTTTCTTCTCAAACAATTGTCTCTCGATATACATTAAGGTTCTTGCTTTTTTCTCGCCAATTATATTTTTACCACTCATCCCACAAACTTGAAATTCAAAATCCCTACCATAAAGAGACATGATTTCTTTGCTGATTAGCCTTCGAAGCTCGATCTTCTGCGCCTATGGCAGTATCGCACAACTGAGCTAAATGTTGTGATACCTCGTTGAATTAAAAATACACTTCGCAGAACCATCCATGCCCTCAAATTTTTCGGGACGGGCCGTCTTGGAAATTTCGATCTGTTCTGGTTTAATATTTTTTGATATAAAGTGATCTTGTGTACTCGGCTCTAAAGAAGTATCGAACAATTCTTGCCGGAGTTTATCTGTTCCCTTTTTCTTATGGTTAACCAAAGATATCAAAGCTTCTTCTCCCTATTGCACTGTTTTATCTTACTACTACTTTTTTTCTGATGAGTTAGGCTCGGACAAGTGTGTATGAATATTGGAAGAAATATCAGATAATGCTTCGTGGAGAATAGAATCTTCTAATACGTGTACGCTATCACCTTGTGTCTGCTTCTGTTCCAATTTCGTGACTGTCTCTGAGCTCAGCATTTTCAGCAATGAGATTACTGGTGTCTGTTTTATTTTTCTTTTCTAACTCCTCGAATCTGGTCTTGAGCTCAGCATTTTCTTCTATGGCTTGTTTTAACTTTGTATTCTCAGCCTTGCTTGATGTCAGAATTCTCCTTTCTAAGCTCAGAAATCTCAGCTAAAAGCTTGAATTTAATTCTTGCAACGAATCGATTTTGATTGAGGTCTGGCATTGTTTATACAAGATGCGGATATATTCAAAAATTAATTAAAAATCACATGACTTTTTAATTACGCCAATGATAAAAAAAGATTTATTAATCTGATCATTACATATTGTGTACTAGACTTTCTACTCTTCCAAAATGGATGCTTGGCAATCAATCGTAAAGAAAGCAAAGAAAATTGAACATAAAGTTAATAAAACAGTCTATAACCATCCCAAGTTACCAGAATTTCTCTTAGGAGAAGAAAGGCAAGTCTGCTTCACATAGGTTTCTCAAGATTTGCTCAATGTTGACTTGTATGGTTCGTAGTTTGCCCTTTCAGATTGGGTCGAAAGTTTCAGTGAAAGATTATAACACTTTTCTTGATACAACGAATCAAGTGGATACAAATTTCACTGGGACGATAGAAACGTTTACATCATTGATATGGCTAACCCAGAACGTGAAGCTGTTGTTGCACTGTTGATGAGATACTTTAATGTCCCCAAATGGCGGTGTAATCATTGACCCTCCAATATATGTTAAAGGTCAACCATGTAAGAGAATTTTTTCTAATTTCTGCTTGATCTTTGATCGCAATAATATTTAACATTTTTCCCATAGATCATTATGATCCAACTGTTATCGGAAAAAAATAGCACCAGATGTTGCAATCTACCCAGATGTGGCATATGTTCCAAATCCTACTTCTCCGCATCCTGGTCCTCCTCCCAGTGATGTAAAGGTACATCGAATTGTATAAACGATTATATTTATTTTTTTAATATTAATATGTTCACATAGGGAAACTCTCATGCACGAATATTCTGTGAAGTAGCTTTATCTCAGAGCGTCACTCTCTGGGATGAAAAATGTAAGAATTGGATGCATGAACAATATGTGCAATCTGTATTAGGTATCAAACTTTATGATATAAGGAAAGGAGGTCATCATCGGTCAATGACGGTATGTCTAACTACTTGCTTCATTATTTTGCGGTTTCATCACTAAGATTTTTTTTAATATTAGGCCAAGCTATGGTCACGTCAGAGACCGGCACTACCAGCAGTGAGTGCAACAGTACCAACAATGCCGGGAATATTTGTCCAAGAGGTATGATTAATCTACTGTTAATGTTTCTTGTGATTAAGCATTGGAGGCTTAAAGTATAACTTTGCTCTATGATAGTGGGACTTTGGAACTTTACAACATAATAGTAGTCAAGCTACTGGTTGTACTAGCGCGAACATTCCTGCCTACCAAGTAAGTATTCCAGTATCTGACGTTTTTTCTGGGATCCACCAATTGTTGCAGAAACTCCGAATACTACCGGATATAGCGTAGCAGTTCCTAATACAGTTGTCGGCAATAATTTCATCATCGACTTATATAGAATCCAACAATTGGTTTTAAAAAGACAGTGATTTAAAAGATTAGTTAACTATAATGCTTCTAGCAGTGAAAATTCAGCTTTTTAGTAAAAATTTTTTGTATAAAATAATCATACATGTATATGGACAAAGACTTATATACGATATTCGCCCAATAGACTCGAATATTAATAGCGCATATAATCTGTATTACAGTTTGATTTTTACACGCGGTAAAAGAATAAAAAAGCCCGGGTATAAAATGCGCTTTATATACATGATGATCGATTGATAGGCGACTCGTGATCGATCGCGCAATATTGATTACTTTCTATTTTTTTATTTACTTCATAAAAAGTGTTAAACCTTGAGATCGTGACCTGGAGGTCACGGTTGGCATATACTGTACAGTCACAGGTTCGAAAAAAATTTGCGTCTTAATTTTATTATCTCGAATTGCTCGAAGAAAATACCAGACTATTGTGGCGCGCTGTCATAAAACTGAGGACTAATACAGAATTTAAGTTCCATATTTATAGTGCGTTAGTCCAAATTATTACCTACAAGATTTTGAAATTTACCCTCGCATTGGCCGTGTCAAATGCCGATTCGATATCGGTAACTCTAATTTTCGTCACACACTCTTCAAATATCCAGTCAAGGTTACTCTCAAAGTTAATGATTCAACCCTGTTGAGAATAAATAAAAGGGT